GTGTGTGTGTTTCTTTGTGGCTGATTAGCTGCTCTCCCTGTGCAAAGGTCAGAGGGGGCAGGGTTTCTGTTGAGGCAGGTGATTAGCTGTGGGATGAGCTTATCAGAGCTTGCAGGGCAGCAGCTGAAGAAGGAGCAAAAAGGGTTTTCTTGTGTGTGTGTTTCTTTGTGGCTGATTAGCTGCTCTCCCTGTGCAAAGGTCAGAGGGGGCAGGGTTTCTGTTGAGGCAGGTGATTAGCTGTGGGAGGAGCTTATCAGAGCTTGCAGGGCAGCAGCTGAAGAAGGAGCAAAAAGGGTTTTCTTGTGTGTGTGTGGGAGGAGCTTATCAGAGCTTGCAGGGCAGCGGCGCGCGCAGTTTGATCCATCTTTTAGATTTAGGGGAGCTAGTCTCAAACGTTTGTTGGGGGAGACCTAGGGTTTTTTCTTGGGGGGGGAGTTATTTGTCCTGTCTTCACGCTTTTTATAATGGAGGACCGCTGTAGCCACCCCCAACGACACGTTCTCAAGATGGAGGGGGGGAGGGAACAGCTGCAGTCGCCTGCGGTTCCTGCGCAATGTTTGCCATCTTGCCAAAGGTTGCAGGCAGCTTTACCTGCAGCAATTGCATGTTGATTGCCCTCTTAGAAGACAAAGTCCAGCAACTGGAAGAACGTGTAGCTACGCTCCAAAGAATTAGAGAGCTGGAGCTCTTCTTGGAAGCAACAGAGCACACCGTCTCCACCAAGGAGGAGACAGGGGACTCCCCTGAGAAAGAGGCTAGTTCACCAACACAGGAGCCAGATATATGGAGAAACGTGACTCAAAGAAGTAGGAGGACCAAGGTTCGGTCTGATTGTTTAGAAATACACAATCGCTTTGAGGTCCTCTCCCCTAGCATGGAAGACGAAGAGCAGACTCCATTTGAGGATCTCTCCCTCATTACAGTCGATCAGGTATATGAAGACGAGCAGCAAAGTCAGTCCTCAGGGAATGTGCAGGCGACCTTGGAACGGACAGCTCACGGAAGAACCCCGACCAAACCTAAGAGGAGGCGTGTAGTGGTGATAGGGGATTCCCTACTGAGGGGAACAGAAGCAGTGATCTGTGGGCCTGACAAGATGTCTCGGGAAGTGTGCTGTCTCCTCGGGCTAAGATCCAAGATGTAACTGAACGACTGCAAGGAATCATAAAACCCACTGACAAATACCCCTTCCTCTTGGTTCATGTGGGAACCAATGACACTGCAAGCAATAGCCTCCAGAAGATCAAAAGAGACTACGAGGCTCTGGGCAGGAAATTGAAGCAATTAAATGCACAAATTGTCATCTCATCTGTCCTCCCAGTTGAACGACGTGGCCCAGGGAGAGAGGGAAAAATAGTGGAAGTGAACAGCTGGCTTCGCAAATGGTGTAAACAGGAACGGTTTGGATTTTTAGATCACGGACTGCAGTTTCTTGAAGATGGACTTCTGGCAAGCGATGGGCTGCACCTCACAACGGTTGGGAGGAATGTTTTTGCCAAAATCTCAGAAACCTCATCAGGAGGGCTTTAAACTGACTAATGTGGGGAGGAAGACAGTGCTCCTGAAGGTAGGAGTCTATCAATTGATGAAGATGATCATCCAAATGTCATAGACCAAATGGAGCAAACAGCACGCAGACCTAGTGGTGGGAGGAAAACATCCTTAAATAAGAGACACGGAGGAATGATTAATGGACTTCAATGTCTGTACACTAATGCGCAAAGCATGGGAAATAAACAAGATGAGCTTGAGCTCTTGGTACAGCAAACTAAATATGACATAATAGGCATCACTGAAACCTGGTGGGATAAGTCCCACGATTGGAATGTAATAATGGAGGGATACAATCTATTTCAGAGAAACAGACCAGACAAGAAAGGAGGAGGAGTGGCGTTATATGTCAGGGATGTGTATACCTGTGAAGAGATCCAAGATTTAGAACCTCAAAGCCAAAGTGAGAGCATTTGGGTCAAAATTAAGGAGAGAAGAATAACAGTGACCTCATTGTGGGAGTTTACTATAGATCCCCAAGCCAAACGGAGGACATAGATGATGCCTTCCTGGAACAGATGGCCAAGCATGCAAAAGGAAGGGAGATAGTAGTAATGGGGGACTTCAATTACCCGGATATTTGTTGGATGTCAAACTCAACCAAGAGCATAAGGTCAAACAGATTCCTCACTGGCCTTGCAGACAACTTCATTGTCCAGAAAGTGGGAGAAGCAACAAGAGGAACAGCCATTTTAGATCTGGTCCTAACCAATGTTGATGACCTGGTTAGTGGGGTAGAAGTGGAAGGATCATTAGGCGCGAGTGATCATGCTCTTCTGAAATTTACTATACAGCGGAAAGGAGCAGCCAAGCATACTAGGACTCAATTTCTTGACTTTAAGAAAGCTGACTTCATAAAACTTAGGGAAGTGCTGGGTGAGATCCCATGGACAGTAATACTAAAAGGAAAGGGAGTTCATGATGGCTGGGAGTTTGTTAACAGGGAGATAATAAAAGCACAACTTCAGGCAATACCAATGAGACGGAAACATGGAAGGTGCCTAAGGAAGCCAGGGTGGCTATCTAAAGAACTTTTAACTGAGTTAAGATTAAAAAAGGATGTGTACAAAAAATGGAAAAGGGGGAAACCACCAAAGAGGAATTCAAACAAATAGCCAGCACGTGTAGACACAAAGTCAGAAAAGCTAAAGCACAGAATGAACTCAGGCTTGCTAGAGAGGTTAAAAGCAACAAAAAGGCTTTTATGGGTATGTTCGTAGCAAAAGGAAGAACAAAGAAAAAGTGGGTCACTCAGAGGAGAAGATGGTGAAATGCAAACAGGGGACACAGAAAGAGCTGAACTCCTCAATGCCTTCTTTGCCTCAGTCTTCTCCGATAAAGAAAACAATGCCCGACCTGAAGAATTTGGAGCAAATGATTCAGCAGAGGAAACACAGCCCAGAATAACTAAGGAGATAGTACAAGAATACTTGGCTAGTTTAGATGTATTCAAGTCTCCAGGGCCAGATGAACTGCATCCAAGAGTATTAAAAGAACTGGCAGATGTGATCTCAGAACCACTGGCAGTCATCTTTGAGAATTCCTGGAGAACAGGCGAAGTCCCGGCAGACTGGAGGAGGGCAAATGCTGTCCCTATTTTCAAAAAGGGGAAAAGAGAGGACCCAAATAATTACCGCCCAGTCAGTCTGACATCAATACCAGGGAAGATTCTGGAGCAGATCATTAAGCAAACAGTCTGTGAGCACCTAGAAAGGAATGCTGTGATCACCATGGTCAGCATGGATTTCTGAAAAATAAGTCATGTCAGACTAACCTGATCTCGTTTTTTGACAGAATTACAAGCCTGGTAGATGAAGGGAACGCAGTGGATGTAGCCTACCTTGATTTCAGCAAGGCATTTGACAAGGTGCCCCATGATATTCTTGTAAAGAAGCTGGTAAAACGCGGTCTTGACTATGCTACCACTCAGTGGATTTGTAACTGGCTGACTGACCGAACCCAAAGGGTGCTCATCAATGGTTCCTCTTCATCCTGGAGAAGAGTGACTAGTGGGGTGCCACGGGGTTCTGTCTTGGGCCTGGTCTTATTCAACATCTTTATCAACGACTTGGATGATGGACTCAAGGGCATCCTGATCAAATTTGCAGATGACACCAAACTGGGAGGGGTGGCTAACACCCCAGAGGACAGGATCACACTTCAAAACGACCTTGACAGATTAGAGAACTGGGCCAAAACAAACAAGATGAATTTTAACAGGGAGAAATGTAAAGTATTGCACTTGGGCAAAAAAATGAGAGGCACAAACACAAGATGGGTGACACCTGGCTTGAGAGCAGTACATGTGAAAAGGATCTAGGCGTCTTGGTTGACCACAAACTTGACATGAGCCAACAGTGTGACGCGGCAGCTAAAAAAAGCCAATGCAATTCTGGGCTGCATCAATAGGAGTATAGCATCTAGATCAAGGGAAGTAATAGTGCCACTGTATTCTGCTCTGGTCAGACCTCACCTGGAGTACTGTGTCCAGTTCTGGGCACCACAGTTCAAGAAGGACACTGACAAACTGGAACGTGTCCAGAGGAGGGCAACCAAAATGGTCAAAGGCCTGGAAACGATGGCTTATGAGGAACAGCTAAGGGAGCTGGGCATGTTTAGCCTGGAGAAGAGGAGGTTAAGGGGTGATATGATAGCCATGTTCAAATATATAAAAGGATGTCACATAGAGGAGGGAGAAAGGTTGTTTTCTGCTGCTCCAGAGAAGCGGACACGGAGCAATGGATCCAAACTACAAGAAAGAAGATTCCACCTAAACATTAGGAAGAACTTCCTGACAGTAAGAGCTGTTTGACAGTGGAATTTGCTGCCAAGGAGTGTGGTGGAGTCTCCTTCTTTGGAGGTCTTTAAGCAGAGGCTTGACAACCATATGTCAGGAGTGCTCTGATGGTGTTTCCTGCTTGGCAGGGGGTTGGACTCGATGGCCCTTGTGGTCTCTTCCAACTCTATGATTCTATGATTCTATGTGTGTGATTTTTTCAGGGAAAATACATCTGTAGTTGGTAAAGTGCTGTGTGCTGTTTCTAAAGTGCTGTCAGCTTGCAAAATTAATTGGTGCAATTAGTAAATAGCAAAATAATTAGCAAACGCTGCAGCTTGTATGTTATGTAGCGCTGCTCTTAAAACCTAAACTCATAAAGGCAATTAAGACTTGCCTGCACTGGGAGTTGCATCTGGTAATTTAAGGACTGCCTCATTAAGCCTTTATTCATAAAAGCAATTGCTTTATTCATAAAAGCAAAAAGGGCTTATTATTAAAACTGTCTTGGAGCATAGTCTTCTCAGATAATTCAATTCATCCTATTTAACGGGATTCACTGCTCAAATTATCACATTTAATAAATAAATTAAATAAATAAATAAATAAATGATAAAATAAGATAAAATAAAATAAAATAAAAATACAAAAAAATAGATAAATAGTTATATATACATACATACATACATACACACACACACACATATATATATATATATGTATATGTGTGTGTGTGTGTATATATAAAATAATAAAACATAAATAAATAAATAATTGAAGAGAATAGAATAAAATAAGATAAAATAAAACAGAATTTGGATTAGCTGGGACACGGCTGCATAGTACTTGCCAGATCGGGTTTCTTAAATAGGTGCTGGTACGCCTTTTCCGACATGGCTCCCGGGAATAACCAACTAGCACCTTCCCGCAAAGGGAACAGAGAAGCCAACCAAAACGATTCGCTTATGCCTGTTATGCCGTGCAACCCGCAAGCATTTGCTAAGTTTTTCGCGGCATTTGAGACCTTTTATAGGCAGTGTTGCCCAGGAGCCATAGCACTCTCAGCGCCACCGCCAGCCTCCCAGGATTACATTCCTGACACACTACCCAGTAACCAGGAGCGCCCGAGTACCTCTGCCTCTGGTCCGGGCATAGCCCCACCGGGACCCACCGCTGTGTCACCCCCTATAACTCGCTCTCAGTCCGCTTGCTCCCACGGGTCTAACTCAGGTTCCTTCGGTGGCAGGGCGCCTCCCGGGAGATCCAGCAATACTAATTCTCATCAGGACATAGGTGTACCCAGTTTGTTTCAGGAACCATCACAGCAGCTCACGACCGCGGAAGGGGATTCCGGATCATCTTACAAGGAGGAGCAACAGGGAAGCCTAGACACCCCAGCGGCTGCCCAGACTGTGGCTGACGCTGAGCAACAGGGTGGAAAAAGGAAATCCAAGAGGAAACACACCGCGAAGAAAGGCAAGAGGAGCAGGAAGTCGGACTCTGAGGACGAGTCAGGTGCCTCTTTTTCCGGTTCGGATAGCGGCGGCCCCATGGAGGATTACTGGGGCCTGGGCGAGGATATTTCCGGGCTTCCTTTGTGGATACATGAAAGAAGGGCTAATTCCCACTGTAGGTCCTTCAACGGGTCCCTGGAATGGAAAGGGGGGTCATTGGTGGAAGACGTAAAAACATCCACCAATGTGTCCACTGATTTCATATTGGGAAATCACTTATCACAAAAGAAGAGGACCAAAATACTCAATGGGGATTACATTGATATATTTACTCTCCTCCCCCCGACTAAAATGACAGGTAAAGGGGAGAAAAAAACAGGCTTATGGGAAGCGGTGATACAGGACCCCCCCCCCGGGTTGAACGCACTTTTGAAAATTGGTTAGATGGCTACCAGGTCTTTATGGGTGTGGTTTCTGCGGCTTATCCCAAACGCACGATGCATCTCATAGCGCACATGACACACATGAGAAGGGCCTTTGTACTAGCGGGGGAGAATGCTGCCTTATCTTATGACGAGGATTTCCATAGAAACGCGTCACTTCTGCCATCCACTCGCTGGGACCTGAGGGACCAGAACTACTGGATGGAGCACGTAGGTCCCTATGTTGAAAAGAAATATCAGGATTCGCCAAAAGTGGGAAAGGTGGAGCCAAAACGGTGTCGGCAATGCTGGGATTTCAACAGGGGGGTCTGTTCACGACCCACGTGTAAGTATGCCCATGAATGTGAAAGGTGCCTTGGTAACCACCCGGGCTCCGCCTGCCTCAAAGGAAAGCAGCCCTTTTGGGGCAGCAGGGGGTACTCACACCAAGGCCCTAGGGGTACCTCCGGACACCCACAGGGGACTACAGGAACCGCCAGTAATGTGGCCCTCAGGCTAGCTCTCACACCTATCAAATTACACCCGTTAAAAGCCCTATTAGATCTATAGCCCAATAAAACACCAGTGAGATACCTCTAGGAAGGGTTTTCCTCAGGCTTTATAATCCCGGTGTCCTTCCCACCCAACCCGGGCGATCCTCCCAACCAAAAATCAGTGAGGGAAATGCCAGAGATAGCCAGAAAGAAAATTCAAAAGGAAATTGCAGCTGGGAGGGTGGCCGGTCCCTTCAGCCAACCCCCTATCGAAGGGTTACACATTTTCCCCCTAGGCATAGTTCCCAAAAAAGCCCCTGGGGAGTTCCATATGATCCATAATCTCTCATACCCAAGGGGTGGTTCCATCAATGATGCCATACCTCAGGAGCTTTGCTCAGTGAAATATGCATCATTTGACCAAGCAGTTAAACTGATTCGTAAATTTGGAAAGGGGGCACTGCTAGCAAAATGTGATATAGAATCAGCCTTTCGCCTCCTCCCAGTGCACCCTGAGGATTTTCGTTGGTTAGGCTTTAGATTTGAAGGGTCTTACTTTGTCGACAAAGCTATGCCTATGGGTTGTTCAGTGGCTTGTGCAGCCTTCGAAGCTTTTAGTACATTCCTGGATTGGGCGCTTCAATTTAAAACAGGTTCCATCGGGGTCTCGCATTACCTCGATGACTTTATTCTCGTTGCAGCTACAGAACCCCAGTGCACCAATTTGCTGACGGCATTTATCTCTTTAGCTGAGGAACTCGGAGTCCCGTTGGCGGCGGACAAAACTGAGGGCCCTGCCACCAGAATGGTGTACCTAGGCATTGAATTGGACACAATTGCGCAGTCTTCTAGGTTGCCAAAAGAAAAATTAGTCGCCCTTAGGGAATTGATTCAACAGCTTCTTCCATTGAAAAAGGTTACCCTCAGACAAATCCAGTCTCTATTAGGTCACCTAAATTTCACCTGCCGGGTGGTATCTCCGGGGCGCCCCTTTTGTGCCCGCCTAGCTAGATTGTCAGCGGGCCTGCGTGTTCCTCAACACAGGGTACGCCTTTCCAAGGCGGTTAAATCCGACTTGGAAGTATGGCTTCATTTTCTGGACAATTACAATGGTATATCTCTGTGGCAAGACACCATGCTGCTTCACGCTGATTTTCAGGTGCAGTCCGATGCGGCAGGTTCGCTAGGATTCGGGGTTTACTTCAAGGGTCAGTGGTGCGCTCAACGCTGGCCCCCCGATTGGCAGGGAAAACCCATCACGAGGGACCTTACTTTCTTAGAATTCTTTCCCATCGTAGTAGCAGTTCATTTATGGGGGGAGGTATTTAGTAACCACAGGGTATGCTTTTGGACCTACAATCAGGCGGTAGTAGCGGTCCTTTCGACGCAATCCTCACGCTCCCCAAGGGTGGGAAGCCTCCTACGTTCCTTTGTTTTTTGTTTTTCTTAAATGATATTTATTGAAAAAAAAATTTAGAGTTACAAAAGAAAACAAAGTAGAAAAGGAACAAAGAAAGAACAAAGAAAAACACAAACCACATCCAACAATACAAATTCAAAAAAAAACAAAAATACACCACAAACATTTAAAAACAAATCCATTATTCTCAAATCCTCAACTGTCGTTACCTTCTTTCTTTGACCTCCTCCTCCTCCCTTTTTTTGTATCCTAGTTGTTAATTGTTGCAGCAAATCCTTTCCATATTTCATAATATTCTGTCATTACATTACCTTAAACTATTTTAATCTTATCTTACTATACAAAACCTTGAAACTTAAAACTTAAATCTTATTTTTACCAACTTCTCATAACCATAATATTCTTACATAATTCTTTAAACATTTTTACTAAAGCCAAGTAATTTCATTCCAACATTTTTCTAACATTCATCAATTTTATAAAACAATCCTAGTAGTAGAAAAAGAAATAAAAACAATCCAATCTTCATCCAGCGTCCCTTCCTCCTGGTTCCGGGTTTTGTCAGTCCTTATTATCCCATCGATCTAGCGCATTAACCTGGTAACCTTATATCCGAGGCCCTTAAGTCTCTTCCATGTCCCTTCCGCAGCTCTTCTTCATATTTGTAACTGTATTTTCCCTTGTCTCCTGCTCGTTTCACTCGTGGGAACTCCAGTGTCAGGGAACTGACATCGGAGCGAGAGGCGAAGGGGAGGCTCCTAGATGATGCTGGAGAAGGACCCAGCAGCAGGGGGAGATACAGCTCAGTTGAGGGGGAAGCATTGAAGCGCAACACCAGGGATAAAGGTGGGCAGATGGGGGAATCGGAGAGAGGGCTCCAGGACTCTTCACTGGAACTCAGTGAGGAGGGGACAGGTCCTCCGCTACCCACGCCCTCCCTGCGCAGAAGACTCCCGCGCAGTGAGAGGAGGAGGAGACTGGGTGTCAAACAACTTTTATGTTGGAAGAGGTTCAAGAAACGCCCACTGACGGATTCTGCCAGTGACTGAGGCAGTCACAATTAGAAAGGGCTGTGCAGTCAGAAAGGTTTAACAAGGCAAAGTAGCCTAGAGAGGCACCAGTTTACGCACGAGTAACTCATACTCATCACATCCAGCTTAACAGTATTTTTGACCCTTCTCGACAGATCAGCCCCTTTTCCATAATCCACACTAAATTCCATGTGGTATTTAAGAACATGTTTCAAAATCCCTCCTAAATTATGAGCCCCCACAATCCCAGACATCTCACAGCCCATTGCCAGACTTGAAAAGTCCAAACATCCCTGCATAGGGGGGTCTATCCAGCCCCCCATTTCCAAACCAAACCAAACTTTTTCTTTCCAAATCTGGCTTTTTCCAAGTTCATTTGTCAAATCCGAAAGCTCATGTTCCTGTTGGGCCTGTTCTGTCAGGGCACACTCCTGATTTAATTCCTGGGTGGGCTCCACATATTTCCCACTGCCTGTTCAAAATTTCCCACTGCCTGTTCAAAATTTCTAATCGAATCAGCCATCAAATTCGTCTTCTCATGTAGCTGTTTCAGTAGGGCATTTGTTTTATAGAAAGCACACAACAGAGCTTCTGAATACATTGTCCTGCAAGGTCAGATGTCTATTCCCACGATTGTAATCTGTAACAGCTGCCAGCTCCCGGAGTTGGTTACAGTTTCACAGTCTCCTCTAGGGGAAAACTTCTATTTGTTCTTTCTTTTAAAGACAAGTCTAGCAACAAAGTTTCCTTTTTCAGATATTTTGTCAATATTTGTTCCTTTAAGAAGTGAAGGGGAACAATGGAGTCAAAGTTTCTCTTCTTATAGCTATCTGTCAAAAACGTTGTCTCTGGTCAATGAGCTTCAAAAAATGTCAATCCTAACACCCCGCTCCAGGATCAGGACGGTGGAAAGTTACTTTACTTTACCCTC